TTTCCCTCCTCCTCACTCTTCTCTCCCTTCTCCCTAACCCTGCCTTTCTGACCCAGCAAGCAGCTCTTATCTGCACCATTACTTCGCAGGCTGCCTGACTTCCCTCCTCCAAACCCTGAAATCTTTTTTTAGCAGATGACTGTTCAGTGCAGGGTTAACCTGCCCTCCACACATGCAGCACTTAGCCCAGGAAAGCTCCCTACCTAAGGAAGCAGAAGCCACACACGTTCCCCAGCCCCACGATCCCTCAAGTCACATGCCTGGAGGCACTTCCACAAATAAAAGCTATTGCTAAGCCACAACCATGTTAGGCTAATTATCAAGTCTCATGGGATCAGGGCTGGGATTCTCTTCTTTAAGCACAGAGCAATTTAAGGCTTCCCACAGTTTAAGTTAAGAAAACCTGAATCACTTTTTCTCCTCTCCCTTACTGCTCTCTAGAATGATCAAGATGAACTGATTGCAGGGCACTGTGGTCACTCCTGATGCATATTCCTCACTTCATCATGATCCCTAACAAGTCTCTACTATTAATGTAAGCAGGGGAGCCAGGGACAATCATTCAGGGAAGAGAGAGATGCTACATTAATCCCCACAGTCCAATCTTGCAGACTTTAGTCAGGCAGAACTCCCATGTATGGCACAGTGGTTTGTCTATTTAAGAATCACAGGATCTGGCCCCTCCACGAGCCCGAGAGCCAACACTTAATGAAAACAGACAGAAGACAAGAGAAAATGCACAATATACACACAGCACTGTATTGTTTCTGAAAGGAAATGTTTTTTCAGTTTCCCATGAGGCATCAGTAGCTCTTCAAACAGAGCCCAAACCTCAAGTATGCCAGCAATTCAACATTCAAACACAAGCTCATTACCTCAACCCACCACTTGCAAGTTTAGTCACTTTCATTTTTCAAAACCCAAAATCAGAGCTCCAGGAATCAGTGTGAATAGCTGACAGGCACAGCTTGCCAGGGTAACTGCTGAGCATTTACACAGATCAGGAGCTAGGAAGCCCTGCAGTTCCCCAAACAATGTATCTTTTACCAACAAGGGGGGTTCTGGCATGGCCACTGAGACCTTCACTAGCTCCTTCTCTTCCCCCATCAAAGACGACAGCTCTGCTGTTTTAGCCTCTCCCAGCAGACTTGTGAGTTTGTTCTGGTTCCAAAAGGAGCACAAATGTCAGAGAGGAAACACAGTTAAGTGCTTTGTTATCCACTACACTACACCTTTGTTTCCTGGGAGATTTGGGCTAGGTTGGCATCAGGTATCATGATCCAGACTGTTCTGACTTGCTTCAGGGTTATCCTTTCAGCACAGAGCTTTGTATGTATGCTCAGGTGTGTTAGCTGAACTGCTCCCCTCAAGCATTGCACAAGACTGAAGGAAGCAAACTCCAATGATTTCCAGTAACAGCTATGCTACTTTAATTGGGATGTTGTGTTCTGTTAATTGATTTGTTTTAAAAAACCCAGCACAGGTACAATATGGAGGAAAAAAAAAACAACTTCACACCAAGTCAGATGTGCTCACTCAAGTCAGCTAAAGGAAGGTACTGTCTTAGGAAACTATATACAATTTACTCCTGGCCCATAAGTTGCCCTGGCAAAATACAATTAAAACCTTTGAAAGAATACTTACATTTCCTGCAGGTTCAACAGCTCTGCAAAGGGAGAAGGATCAATCTCTGTCAACTTGTTGTAGCTCAGGTTTCTGTTAAAATAAAAGACAAAGGCATCAGCATCCTGCAGTTACTGTGCTCAGCAAAACAGGCCTCTTAATTATTCCAGATTGCACTGGGAGGGTGGGTTTCTTCTTAACAAGAGGACTTAAAACAGGGCAGAACAGCACTTTTCTGCTGAATATGAGTGAATGAGTTTAGTTTCATGATCAAAACGTTATCTAGCTCTCCCAAGCCCTTTTCCTCTTTTGCATTGGTGTGGTTTTAATTTGTCTTTATATTACGCAATTACGTTTATTATTCTTCTATTGGTTATTCACAACCACAAAACTAATGACAGATGAATAGGATATTTCCTGACAAATTAAAGTCTGAACTGAAACAATCAACAAACTGTCTGCTAAATATTTTATAGCTGCAATCACACAGGGCATTTTTTATAAACCATTTTGTATTACCTGCAAAAAACCATAGGTACATACACTTGCTACATGTAAAACAGGTATATTCTACATTTTCTTGAGATTATTATTGTGTCACAAAATGTTGGCCTTTAAAAAAAAATCATTATGATTAAAGCTTTCAGCTACACACACAGTAGCATGTGCTTTGTACTTCAACAAGTGACTTGCTGAGCACATCTCCCCCCAAAGCTTTTTCAGCACTCCTGGGTGCATCCCATCCAGCCCCATAGATTTGGGCACATCTATGGAATGGAGTGGAGCAGGTCACTGACCATCTCCTCCTGGATTGTGGGGTGTCAATCTGCTACTGGTCCTTGTCCCCTAGCTTGGGGAGCTCAATATAACTGGTCCTGTTACTAAAAACTGAGCCAAAGAAGTAATTAAGCACCTCAGTCTTTTCCTCATCCTTCATCACTATGTTTCCTCCTGCATCTAATCAGGGAAGGAGGGTCTCCCCTGTTTTTTTCTTTGTTGTTAATTTATAAAAACTTTTCTTGTTGTCCTTTACTAAGGAAGCCAAATTAATTTCTAGCTGGGCTTTGGACCTTCAAATCCCCTCCCTGCATAACCTCACAGCATTTCTGTAGTCATCATGAGTGATCTGCCCCTTCCTCCAAAGGCCACAGATCCTCTTTTTCTCCCCAGGCACCAGCCAAAGCTCCTTGGACAGCCAGGCTGGTCCTCTCTGCTGCTGGCTCACCATACAGCACATGGGGATTTGGCTGCTCCTGCATCTTCAGGACTTCCTCCTAGAAGAGCATTCAGCCTTCCTGGACTCCTATACTTCCAGAACAGATTCCCAAGGGATTCTGGCAATCAGGGCTACTCAAGTTAAAGTTTGCCCTTCAGAAGTCAGGGGTGGCAGCTTTGCTGCCACGTTTCTGTGACAACCACTTCATCAGTTTTCCTGCACCATGGCTTCCAGCTTCCCTTGTTTGTTGCCCACACTGCAAGGATTGCTAGGGACAGCAAACAGACAATATAATGCAAATCAAGTACTGACTGAAAACCACAAGCAAGATCTTTGCCATGCTCTGCTGCAATATCCTGCAGCACAACAGCAAAGTTTTCCCTCCTACATTTGCATTATCAGCACACCACACACGACAGGTCAAACCTGCAGCTAGGGACTTAACAGGAGAACACAGACCAATTAAGACCAAGTGACTACTGATGCAGAAATTAACAAATGGCCTAATTAACATGATGCATGCAGTGTTGGCATGTTCCTGTGAATGTGTAATCTGAAGAGGGAGGAGGCAAATTGATGGGTGGTAGCGAGAAAAGCAACCACAAGAAGTGGTAAGGAAAGTGAGGGGAACCTACTTTAATTTTACCCTGCTCCACACCCTCCTCTAGGAAATTATCCTGGTAAAATTGAACCCTCCTGTCTCCTCTGCAGAGAGGTTACACCCTCTTACTGCACCTCTGAACATGACCCAAAAGATTCGTGGCCTGATTTTAGATAAGGCCTCAAACATTCAGCTGCTTATTCAAACCACCAAGCCAGTCTGACTAGAAAACTGGCCAATCTTCCCTGTTTTGTGTATTTTCTTTGTTTTAAAGCTGTGCCCACATACCTCAAGGAGCTCTGAAGCCCAAACAAGTAAACAGTATCTAAATCATCCAGGCACCTACTGAACTTCTACCTATGCTATGAGGCAAAAAGATTAAAAAGGTACCCAAGAGCGAAAGGGACACAAAAAAAGGGGCAAGTGCCAGGAGAACACTGACAGAGATCTGTTTGAACTGCTCCTGCTTAACCCACTGCACTTTGTGGCAATGCAGAGACATCCAGGTCCACAGCAACACTGAGAAAACACCAAGACTCAAAAGACTAAACAGCTTACCAACTTTGCACCATTGTTAGGAAGTGATAAACACCTCTTTTGAGCTAAACAGCAGTTATTGATCACCTGCTCTCCTACAATGCATTTATAGGAAGTCCTCAAGGCATTCCTCTGGATGCAGGAACTATTCAATAGTTCTCATACAAACACCATTCCCCATCATTTCAGAGCAGCCAGCTCTGAAGACAGCTCCTTGTACCTTGCAAGAAATGTTCAATTTTTTGCCAATACCTGCTGTGAAAGAAGGCTCTACAAATCATCAACACATGCTGGCTCTTAAAAGAATCTAGACTTGAAGCTACACAGGACTGAAAAACCTAGCCAAGCATCTAGTTTTAAAATATGCTGTCCTGTAAGCCCCCACTGTCTTTTAAAACACTCAAGAGACCTTTAAATCAATACCAGCCTACAGCAGATATCCATTTCACTATGAACTCAAAGGCATTTATCTAAATAAAAGTCAAACTGCAGTTTAAACTCAGAGAGCATTTGAAAGCCAAGTCCATATTCATAGCACAATTACGAATTAAAGTGCAATTTGCCCACAGATTACATTACTACTACCTTTTTTAAAAAAAAACAACAAACCACCACACAGCAAGATCAGGTTGGAGCTTGTCCCTGCCTGATGTACAGGCAAAAAGAGAAAACAACAGGTAATATGCTACAGGCTCAACATAAGATAAAGCTGACACTGAAATACTAGCAACAAACTCTTAGGGGGAGAGACAACCAGTCACAACCATGCATGAATCCATCTGTTTTCATGTATTTCTATGCCTTCTAATGCTGCAAATATTTGTATTTCTTAATGTATTTAATCTCAAAACATTCCTCCACTATTTTATGAATCAAGCAGTGAGAATCACCAGCACCAAACTGACCATCCCTGCACTTGTACAAGGGACCAGATTCCTGGTTCAGCCAGTGCTCAAGCACTGAGTGATGCTGACCTGAACTTCAAAATTCCACAACTGAAAACACAAAGGTTTTCATAGATTAAATAATGTAATGGCCATAGTTTATCACCATCCAAAGCAACTTTCTGAGTATTGTTGCTGCCATTCATGAAGTTTAAACATAAGTCATAACTCTAGTAGCTGGCTCTTCAGCTAGTGTAGCCATTATTTTGCCTTTTGCAGCAACAGAAAGACTTCCAAGAGCTGCTGCAGAAATACAGCTGAACTCCACTTTCTTGTATGCCGAAGTCTTCAATTCTCCCCATACTATCCACTCCAACTGCCAACTACCCTCACCAAAAGTACTATACACTGTTCAAAAATCAGTGGGAAAGTAAAATATAAAAAAATATAGTCAGTCCAAAACAAGCAGGATACTTGAAATTAAATAGATAGACCAAAATAAACAGTTTGCTCAATTTCTGAGACAAGCTCTATTTTAACTTACATTAATATGCTCAAGGATTTCTAGCCTGAAGCATTAGCAATCAAAGGATGTGTTTCCCAGAATTCAGATCCCCTCACTAGGCAGTGTTTGGCATGCCAGTCACAGCATTCAAATGGGAGAAAGAATTAACGTGCTCCAATAGATAGATCATTGGGACTGGGAGTCAGGACACCTCCTTCTATTCCTGGCTCTCTTAATCTCCTGCTGGGTGACCCGGTCATGTCACATCACCTCTCCAGAGCTTTTGTTTCCCCAGTCACTCTTTGTCTGTCTTGTCTATTTAGACTGTAAATAAAATTGAGGTACTTATTGTCTCAGTTGGCCCAATGCTGATGAAATGAGGCCTCAATCTTGGTTGGGCTCCAGTAATGCAAATAAAGAGGAGAACTCAAAACTTGAGGTCATGGGTGTATATGACACTCCCTCACCACTAAGCACAGGGCCCAGACATACAGCAATGCACAAATCACTGGAGGGGCTGGAACATCCCCTCCCTCAGCTCAGCCTCTCCAGGGCAAGTAGACCAGCAATGTAAACTGTTTGGAGATGCCAAGCTTGAGGGCACAGATGTCCTGTTGCTGGAAAACTGTCACATTTCTGCTCTCACATAGCACAATGCTCCTCCTTGAAGAGCTGCTTGGTCTGATGCCACACAATAGTGTCATGGCTCACTGAACAAATGTTTCTGCCATCAATGCTCTAAAATGTCCTCAAAATCCCAAACCAAAACACTGTCCCTTCCCAAATCATCACTGCCCTAAACCATCTCAGGTGCTGGGCATCTCTTCAAAGTGGCAGCTTATATAGCCTCATTTACAATGTTTTATATCAGGCCCAAGAGCCCATGCCCTTGGGGTGCAGCCAGCCCATCTCCCAGCACCCACATTCTACACAGGGTTAGCCCAGCCCAAGTGTGGGCATACCCATGCAGAAAGCAGACTGCCCAGTGTCCTGCCTGCTTCTCTGCATGGATATGTTTCTGTTGAGCTACTCATGAAATAGTATTTTGATCCCTCCAAGGCAACTGTGGAAAGAAAACATAATTCAGCAACAACCAGCATAAATCCTGGACAAGAGCCTGGGCTGTCAGTTCAGGAAAGTATTCTACAAAGGTCAGAAAATTCTACAGATGGCTGAGAAGACAGAGCAGAGCCACCAACTTAAATGGCCTCTAATATTCAGTTTTTCTCCTCCCTGTTGAACAGAAGTTAAGGTTCATGGGGTTTTTTTAGAACTTTAATTGGGCTTAATGGCATGAGAAGTGCTCTGCACTTTATCCTTCACATACTACTTCAAGTCTTCCTCGTATTG